CCCCCCCCCCAGTGGCTTGTGCTGTGTTCACAAAGTCGCCGGCCATCCATCGCCACTACCGAGTTCAACCACACTCCCTCACGCCTGTGCCCCAGGCGCCTGAGACAGGCCCCCTCAGGGATTCGCTCTGCGTTTAGGCAGCAGGCACACGCCCGGAGTAGCCCCTGCGGCCGCAGACACGGGCTGGGCTCAGGGGGGCCCAGGGAGGAAACAGCCGAGCAGCGGGGGGCTCCCAATACGGTGAGATGAATGAAACGCACGGGGCTGTGCGGGTGTAGTGGGCGCGAAGTGTATGCGATTTTGGGGGGGCCTCTTTTTTTTTTTAAAGGTACAGAATTAAGAATTTAAAAAGGCTAGGGCCCCACCCGGACCCGTGTGGCTCAGCGGCTGAGCGTCGACCCATGAACCAGGAGATCGCGGTTCGATTCCCGGTCAGGGCCCAGGCCCGGGTTGCGGGCTCAATGCCCAGCCGGGGGCCTGCAGGAGGCAGCTGGTCAATGACTCTCATCATGGACGTTTCTCTCTCTCTCTCTCTCTCCCTTCCTCTCTGAAATCAATAAAGACATTTAAATTTTTTTAAAAAAAAGAAAATGGGATTCTTTTTCCCCCTGCTGCAGAAAGACGCTCCTCGGGCCCCTCTACGGGTCTCCCATGGAGCAGGTCCAAGTGCTGCCGGTGAAGACCACCTACGAGATGCAGAAGCGCTACCTGGTGTTCATTAACAGAGACAAGGTGTGCGTCCCGCTGCGCGCTCTGCCTCGGGAGGGGGCTCGGCGTGTGCCCAGCAGCCACCAGCCTGGGCCCGGCGACCTGAGCCTGAATATCCGACTGCATGTTCCTCCCCAGGTTGGACTTCAGATCTTACCCATCGACGGCAATCCCCATAAGACGTCCGCTATCGTCTGCCACCCGAACGGCACGACCGGAATGACCCTCTCCCACGATGGCCGCTACGTCTTCACGGCCGGAGGGCAGGACCTGTCAGTGGTGCAGTGGGAGGTCAACCTCAGGTAGGCGACGGGGCGAGGCGCTTACTCAGCCGCGGCACGCGGGTGTTAGGCCCCGACTGCAGGACAGGCACTGTACCGGGCCTGCGGGCACCAAGGTGACCGGGGACTCAGGACCTGCCTTCGGGTCACGCCCGGGGACGTCTGTTCATAAGGACATGGGGAGGAAAGCTTGCTGCTCTGTCTCAGGGAGCGACAGGCTCGCAGTCAGGGCCGAGCGGTTCCGCCTCGGTGCCTGGTGCCCCCGAGACACCTCCCTCTCCGTCGGCGGACTCACACCCGCTGGACAGATGTAGCCTGAACCTCCAGAGTGTCTGTTACAGAAACAGTAAGAGGTCGTTGGGAATACGTATTTTGGTGGTGTTGTTAATGCTCATCCGGAGATATTTCCTCCATTGATTTTTAAGAGAGAGAGTGGAAGGGGGGGGAGAGAAAGAGAGACATCGGCTGGTTGCCTCTCGCACAAGCCTCCTCCTGGGCCAGGGATCGAACCTGCAACCCAGGTACGTGCCCTTGACCGGGAATCAAACAGGAGACCCGTCGGTGGGCGGGCGACGCTCTCACCGCTGAGCCACACCGGCCAGGGCAGCTGACCCTTTTTAGAGTGCCCGGGCCGCGCAGTGGTGATTCTAACCACCCCGTGCCAAGTCTGCTCCGGGCCGGGCCCCGTCCACGCACTGTCCGATTTCATCCTCACAGCCGCCCTGCGAGGTGGGGACTGTCGCTGTCCCCGTTGTACGGATCTGGAAACCGGCGCCCTAGCCCGGAGGGGCTCCGTGACCCGCACGGAGTAAGCGGTGGGGTGGCGATTCTCACCGGGTCTTTCTGGGTGGGGCCCACACCTCAGCAACCGTTCAACACCGGACAAAATTAAAGGGCTCCGTGTCCTTTATTGTGTTCTCTTATCTAATTCTCACAACAACCCGGGAGGCAGACCCTGCGATGATGCCCAGTCTACAGAGAAGGAAACTGAGGCCCAGGGAGGCTAAGTTACCTGCAGGCGGCAGAGCCGGGAGCCCGGAGTCCGGATGCCAAACCGCTTCCCCCGCTGTGGCCTACGCTGCAGTGTGTTTTAATAACCCGCAAGGAGGCTGGCGGCCTGATTAGCAGCGATCCAGTTAGTGGGTTATTACAGTGACTTCGTATTATTATTAGCATTCTGTATGAGGCAAAGTCGGTCTCAAACAAAAAGTAGGTTTTCTTACCTACGGGGCCTATTTTTGGAAAGCCCGACCCCGCGCTAGAGAGCAGAGGGTTATTTTTATCCGGCTGGCACGGGTCCCCCGTGGCCTCCCGAGTTTTCACGGAAGCAATTAGCGTTGGCAGCTCACCTGTGCCCC